TCCACATGCTGGTGGGCCATGACTCTGTACCTCTAGAGCCTCCTGCTGCTGCTAAGAACGTCAAACATCAAAAATAAAATGACACAAAATAAACACTAAAATGAGACAAGAACGTAAAATACTAAAATGAAACCCAAGAACGTAAATCACAAGAACATAGAATCATAAAACAGTAAAACACAGGAACACGACATAAAATCACTGAAATTAAACACAAAACTCAAAAAAAATAAAAACGAAAATAGATAAAACACAAGAAAGCAATACCACAAAATTCACGAGGAAGAGAGGCACTGCTCTCTCTCTCTTTATATATATATATATGACTCGATTGATTGAAAGAACACAAATATCTCCCGAGACCGAAGCAAGAATACTCCCACGACCACTTAAGGCAAATAAAACAGAGAGCTCGGGCTTGTCCACAGACTGGTGGGCCACGACTTTGTGCCTCTAGAGCCTCCTGCTGCTCCGAGATCCCCTACAGCTTAGCCTCGGAACCTTTGTTGCAAAAGACTGCGAAGGGACACAGGTAAACACTGACATACGTTTTCCATTTATTAGAATATAATAAAACAAATAAAACGGGAATCAAATGTTAACTGAACACCAAGAAAGTGAAATACCTGAACGAAAAACACCAAAACGAAAATTCGCATCCCGTCCTGTTGCCGCCCCTCGCCGTCGCCGCGAAAAAGTAAGGATGGAAAGCACTGACTTACTCTAACTTAAAAATTACGTTAAAAGAAATTAAAGTTGCAAAATAAAAGTATATAAAACGTTCCATAAAGTTCACTAAAAAAGAAAAGAATAAATACTAAAATGAAAAATAAATATACGGAAAATAGATCACTTCTTACTCTCGCTTTTCGTAAAAATTAATTGTTCATCATTTTGCGTTCTTGTGGGGAATATAGATAACAACTGAAAGAGAAACTATTAATAACGGAAAGGCATACGAAGAAACAAATAAAACACGTTAAAGGGAAGGAGGTGTGGCCGCGTCTNAGAATGAAATTTTTCCTTTTGGTTTTTAATTTAATTTTCTGTTTTGCTTGCGTAAATTAGTGCTGTTTGTTTTGTTTTTTGAGGTTTGTTCCCGCTTGTTATCTACGTTTTTTGTTTGTATTGATTATTTTCCTCAATTTTTTATTTCTTATTTATCAATTCCCTCTTATTCCTCTTTTCGTTTTTTTATCATGTTTCTTTTGCTGTATTTTCATTTTTTTTCTTGGTTATCTTTGTTGGCATTTTTTTAGTTTCGTTGTATTTCTGTTTGCCTGTTTTCGCTTTCATTATCAATTTTTGTCGCTGTTCCTATCATTCCATGGCCCATCGTCATCGTTTACTTGTCCCTAATTATATCAAGTGATAATAGTAATGATAATGGGGGAGAGAAAGAGAGAGGAGAGAGAAAACAGCAAAAGGAACCCGAATGTTTAATGATAACAACAACAATAGCAATAATGATAGTAATAATTTAAAAAATTAAAATGATAAGGAATAATAAATATTGTGTTTACATTTTTTACGTCTTACACCTAAATCACATGAGAGAGAGAGAAGAGAGAGAGAAAGAGAGGAGAAGGAGAGAGAGAGAGAGAGAGAGAGAGAAGAGAGAGAAGAGAGAGAAGAGAGAGAGAGAGAGAAGAAGAGAGAGAAGAGAGAGAGAGAAGAGAGGGGAAGAAAGAAGAGAGAGAGGAGAGTGGGAGAGGGAAGAGAGGGAGAGAAGAGAGAGAGAGAGAAGAGAGAGAGAAGAGAGAGAAAAAAAAGGGAAGGAGAAAAGAGAGAGAGAGAGAGAGAGAGAGAGAGAGAGAGAGAGAGAGAGAGAGAGAGAGAAAGAGAGAGAGAGAGAGAGAGAGAAATCCAATTGATATTTCAAAATATCTTTTTCATTTTTGACTCGAGCGTCGAAAATAGAGGTGTTTATCACGAGTGTTTCTCTGACTTATATCTTCACAAACTTATATTCATTTTATCTACTATCTATTTATTTCTTATCTCATAATTTCTTTTATCGCTATCCTATTTAATTTATTATTATTTTAATCTCTCCTCCTTCACAGATAACCCTTTCATTGGGCCGCTAAAACCGAAGTCGTAGACGTCGTCCGATTCTAGGCTAATAAGGGATGTTTCACTTGAATCTCTTGTCTGCAAATAGGGATGGAGTCAAGGCTTTAATTGATGATAGTAATGATGGTGATAGTGATAATAACGATAAGAGCTGATAAGGGCTTTGATGGTGATAGTGATAATGATAATGACGATAGAGTGTAAAGTTCCTTTGATGGGTGATGGTGATAGTTTACAATGATGATAATGGGAATAGATATTTCCTAAAGATGATAATGGGAAATAATTATTCCTAATGATGAAATGGAAATAAATTATTCTAATGATGATAATGGAAATAATTATTCTAATGATGAATGTTGGAATGATAATGATAACTATAATGGTAATAAATCATATCTTATTATGCTATGTATATTGATGATAATGATTCTAATGATTTTAATGATAAAAAGTAATAATCATATTAATGATAATGATTCTAATGATTTTAACAATAAAGAGTAATAATTGTATTAAGGAAAATGATACTAATGATTTTAATAATAAGCCAAGATTAAACAGATATAACCTTAATACCACAATGTCAGTAAAGGTAAATATATATAAGGTAATGGTACTACTACCATTATTACTATTAGCAACAGTTGTAGTAGTAATGGTTATGATAACAATGACGATGATAATGTAAAATGATAATAATGATAGTGATAATGTTGATAATGATGATGATAATAATGATGAGAATATTGATGATAAAGCTATTCATCACAAACAATAAAATGATATCAAGACGAAAATGAATCCCATTTAATGATGATGATGATAATGATAATAATAATAATAATAATAATAATAATAATAATAACAACAACAATGATAATAATAATGATAATAACAATAATGATAATAACAATAGTACATAAAGCAAACCCAGCATATCAGTAACAAAAGAAAGAAAGAAAAAGAAAAAGAAAGTAAGAAAGAAAAAATCTATCCAAGCCAAATTTCATCATAAAAAAAGAGGTAATGATAATAAATATGAAAAGAAAGAAAAGAAAGAAAGAAAGAAAGAAAGAAAAGAAAAGAAAAGAGAAGAAAAGAAAGAAAGAAGAAAGAAAGAAAGAAAGAGAAGAAAGAGAAAGAAAAGAAAGAAAGAAAGAAGAGAAAAGAAAAGAGAAAGAAGAAAGAAAGAAAAGAAAAGAAAGAAAGAAAAGAAAGAAAGAAAAGAGAAAGAAGAAAGAAAGAAAAGAAGAAAAGAAAGAAAGAAAGAAAATGAAAGAAAGAAAGAAAGAAAAGAAAGAGAAAAGAAAGAAAGAAAGAAAGAAAAGAGAAGAAAGAAAGAAAGAAGAAGAAAGATAAATAAATAAAGAAAGACAGAAAAGAGAGGAAGAAAAGAAAATAAAAAGAAAGAAAAGAAAAAAGAAAGAAAGAAAGAAATAAAAAGAAAGAAAGAAAGAAAAGAAAAGCAAGAAAGAGAAAGAAAAAAGAAACAAGAAAGAAAGAACAAAGAAAGAAAGAAAGAAAGAAAGAAAATAAAAAAGAAGAAAAGAAGAGAAAGAAAGAAAGTAGTGAAATAAATAAATAAACAAACAAACAAACAAACAAACAAAAAAAAGTCTATCCAAGCAAATTCCACCCTTAAAAAGAGGAAATCAGACCTCCACCTGGCTGCCTCGCCGGGAGTTTTATCACCTATCCTATAATGAGCCTGGAATACGCAGTAATTCCCGCTGCACATTAATAATGACTATGTTGCTGATAAACCATTAATGATGATTAGGCGACGATTATCATGTGTCGTTTCGGAATGGGAATTAAAGGTTTAGAGAGAAGGGGTAGTGTGTCGTGTGTGTGTGTGTGTGTGTTGTGTGTGTGTGTGTGTGTGTGTGTGTGTGTGTGTGTGTGTGTGTGTGTGGTGTGTGTTTTGTGTGTGTGTTGTGTGTTTGTGTGTGTGTGTGTGTGTGTGTTTGTGTGTGTGTGGTGTGTGGTGTGTTTGTGAGGGGGTGTGTTGTGTGTGTGTGGTGTGTGGTGTGTGTGTGTGTGTGTGTATGTGTGTATGTGTATGTGTGTGATGTGTGTTTTTTAATAGATATTAAGATTTTTTTTGTTTTCTTAATAGATAATATGATTGGTGTTTTTTTTCATACTTCATATTGATAGTTGGATATGTTTTTTTGTGTATACATAGTATGATTTTTTTCTTTGTTTTAGCTGTGTAAAGGTATAAAAAGGAAAGTGACTTACGTTTTTTTTTTTTTCGTCAAAGTTGCTGTCATGATATTGGTTTGAAATAAATAAAAATTGTTTTTTTACTTTATCTTATCGTCAAGAGAGAGGGGGAGATAGATAGATAGAGAGAGAGAGGGAAAGAGAAGAGAGAGAGAGAGAGAGAGAGAGAAGAGAGAGAGAGAGAGAGAGAGAGAGAAGAGAGAGAGAGAGAGAGAGAGAGAGAGAGAGAGAGAGAGAGAGAGAGAGAAAGAGAGAGAGAAAGAATGACAGAAAGAGAGAGAAAGAAAGAGAGAGAAGAAAGAGAAGAGAGAAAGAGATAGATAGATAGATAGATCGATAGAGAGAGATATAGATAGATAGATAGATAGAGAAAGAGAGAGAGAGAAAGAAATAGAAAGATAGAGATAGATAGATAGATATATAGAAATAGATAGATAGATAGATAGATAGAGAGAGAGAGAAAAGAGATTAAGAGAGAGAACCAACTCGTTCAAGCCAAAACCACAGCGCCACACCAACCACCAAGTGAAACCATCCACCAAAACGATATCAACTCCCCCCCCCCCCCCCCCGCCATAACCCTCGTTACGACCAGTTAAGTCTCGTCATCATCACATCTCATCAAAGTCATCTCTTTCTCACGTTTTGTCATGGGGAAGGAGTGATGGCTCAGTCATAACACTCTAACGAGG